TTAAGAGAATTTGATATTAATTCAAACACCCTCTAGCAAATAATTTTGCCCTTTTGATATCATTTCCTTGTGGGACAATTGCTCCTGATTTTATTTAAAAAAAAAAGCAGCATGCTGAACAATTGTAAGGGGCTAGGGCATGCAATGTACCCTTACAAAATCAGGGGCAAGTTAGAATAGTCCATTTAACAATTGTGTGCCTGGTTTCCAAGTCTTTGAACAGGAGCAAGGCAAAGGTGACCTCGTTATGTTACAAATGTTGCTCTTTTTTCAAATGTAAATTACTTTGGTATCATGGTAACTAGATATTGGTCTCTGTCACAAGACGGTCACCTTCAGCCTCACTCCAAATCATTAAGGCTTGGCAACTAAGTACACAACTGTAATGTGATTTATACTTGCAAAACTGAAGAGAAATACCAAGTTTTAAAAGGTCATCTAGCTAAACATTACAAGAAACCAACATTGTTAATGCATACCTGGTGGTGAAGGGGAAGCATTGTGGTTGTTAAGAGGGCCCCCAGGGTAGGGGGTAGCTTTTTTTCTGAAGGATAACTCGTTGGTACATCTGGCCGACCAGAGGGGTAGGGTGGGAGATTTCCCTGTTGAGTAAAAAAGATGCAGCCATGTTAATATTATCATTTTCAAATTTGACAAATTGTAACAAATTACTTTGTTAATGTTATGTGATATTTTGAGTGCCTCTCTTCATTTGCATGACTGAGTACTATGCCTTAAAATATTACCCCATCTTAAGGTGAAAACCTCCAAAAGTGCTTACCATCAATATCAGTCATAACAACTATATTTAGACTGGAGGCTCCAACAATGTTTCTTCCTCTAAAAACAAGTGCTAAGGGCAATATTATTACCCTTTCACTCATGTGAATGACGAAGACAGAATTTCTCATTGCAATATCATGACATCAAGCAAACAAGTGATGAGATGAAATAAGTTGATCCAATACCAAATTCTCTGAACTAAAATCTTAAGAGTTGTATGACAGTAAGGAGAATTACTAAATGAGATCCTGGGTGAAAGGGTTATAGGGCATCATGCAATATTGCACTAAGTGCCTTTAATGTGTTGCAGAATTGCATAGCACAGAAACAAAAATGAAAAAGGCATTACAGCCCTGAAGGGTTCTCTCATTTTGAACAACTTTTTATAACCCCACACCAAAATTAAGAGTGACTAGTCTTCCTCATGTTAAGTTAAATGTACATCTATGCAGTTATGGTGGAACAATGACTTACATGTATTGGTGGTGGGTATGCTGCATATCCCATGTTACCTCCTGTCATGGGTCGAATACCAGGCCTGTTAGAGCCTGCTCCATAGCCCTCAAATCCAATGTGACCTCCTCCACTGCTAGAACCTTCTCCACTACTAGAACCTCCTCCACTAGGTGGCCTTGGCTTGATGTCATCATCTGGAGGTATCTGAGCTTCCTATTGAAGATTTTACCAATTATTAATGTGATGTTTCACTTGTGCCACAATCATTCAATAATGATTCATTAGCCCAGGTATGGATTCCCATCCAGGGTGAGTGGTATGATGTCAGTAGCATGGATAGGGGCATAGCTAGTGGCATTGGCTAGTGGCATTCATTTAGCTAATTGCATGAGCTAATTGATGGTGGCATAAGCTGATTGCACCAGGCTAGTGGCATAAGCTAGTTGCTATCTTTTTTTTCTGGATAGCAATCTGTCGTAGTTTAAACCCACACTCTTATTCACCGAGCAATTTTTTATTTTATTTATATGGTCTAAAGACACAAGTTAAAATTCAGTGTCAATAAACCTACAATGTAAAAGCTATCAGGAATTGTCTTACAGTCAAGTTAACACTCACTCTTTGATTCACTGTGCTATTGGCATTGATTGCAGCTTCATGTCCAAACTCTTAGCCATAATTCAGTCCAAGGTGGTCAGAGATCTGCATGAAATGACAAAAAACAAAGATATTAAACCAGTTGAATAATAATTTGCAAATTATTCAAAAAGAACTTTCAAGACCTAAATATAATGTTTGCATCGTTCTGCCTTGTATAATTTATAAATCAATTTTATTAATAAATAATTATCCAATAATACATATGTTGTCCTTGACTACCACTGTAACTCTTTATTCAGTCATCATCATTATTGTTAGTAATAATTATTTATAATACTTAATGCTAATTTAACTTTTTTTCTTTTTAAATGTTGTGCATCCATCTCAGTGATATATTGACATTATGTGGGTCAAAGAGAATTTGAGACAAAACTATCACTGCAATAAATTTGGGAACTGAGATGTGTCCAGAAATGTATGCAGTAACAAAAATGGTGAAAGCTTGCTAAAATTGTCAAATCCAGGAAAATTCACTCAGTTTGACAAAAATGAATGAACATTCACTTTGTTTAACGAAATTTCATGAAATCTGCTATTTTTGTTACTGCATGCATTTCTAGACAAAAATGGGCAGTTGGGAGGGAAAAAGGGAACATGTTATCCAAATTCAAACATCTTAAGATTTAGGATTTACAGAGGTTTGCATCTGTGCTATATACTATACAAGAAAATAATTTAAATTCAATCTATCAATCTAGATTCTGCAAAACTGTTGAAGGGGCTTGTATTTAGCACTAAAAGGAAGAAAAACTCACACAGATGATCATGAGGAGAATTTGAAGTCAATTGATCATCCAAAACAGCCCTCCGCGTTTAAATATTGGACACCATCAGTTTTCTACACATATTTCAATTCTCACAGCTTTCAATTTGAAACTTGATAACTTAATTCTTCTCTAATTTCTTTTAAAAACTTGTGTAGCTCTGGAACCTTCATATTTTTGAAGAGGGCATTATTCGCTGCCATGTTTCCCCTCAGCCTCAACTTGATGTTAAAATTGGTTACCAGACTTTCTCGCACAAACAATTCGAAACTGCCCACATACATTGTTTCTAACTATTGTCAATACCGATGGAGTCGCTTTTGGTAAATCTCAGGAAACAAGTTACTTGTTCCATTTGCCTCGATACCTACACCGAGCCCAAAACTATATCATGTCTTCACACGTTTTGCTGTGAATGTCTAGAGAAACATGCAAAAGTGAGCCAGAAACAGGGAAAATTCCGATGCCCCGAGTGTCAGGCAGCGATCGATTTACCAGAAGGAAATCGCTTCGACCGTTTGCCTAACAGCTTTTTCCATAAAAGTTTGTTGAGTCTTCTCGCTGTTCGACAAAGTGGCAAGGCAAGTAGCATTACTTGCTATCAATGCAGCGCAACCAACCCTCAGATGTACTACTGCTTCGATTGTGGACGATTCATGTGCCCTGATTGTTTCAACGCACATGAAGTGCTCAAGAAGTCTTTTCAAGGACATAAAGTCACGCCAGTTCAAGACTTCAAAGCAGAAGATTACGAAGCATTGTTGAGGCGGCAACCGTTTTGTTCTCAAGAATTCCACGAGAGAGAAATTACACGGTTTTTTTGCTCGCAGTGTAAGGTTTGCATTTGTCCAATTTGCATAGTCACGGATCATCAAAACCACAAAGTTGTTCTTCTCGACAAAGCAGCCCACGAGGAAAAGAATAACATCATGTCGGGCGCAAAATTGATCAAGAATATGGAAAGCGAGCTCCAGGAAGTCATTAGGCAGTTTGAAGAAACCATTTCTAAGCTGGAAAGTAATATGGCAACGGCTAAGCGAAGCGTCAAGCAAGCAGCTGAACAAATGATCGCAAGTATTCGAGAGCGCGAGCGAGAGGCGTTGGAATCCCTGGAGGCAACACGCGTGTCGAGACTCCATATAATTAACTCGGCTAAACGGGAAGTGCAATCCTTAGTAAAACAAATTAACCAAGCAGCTCAGTTTGCAGAAAATCTGGTGCAGAGAACCTCAAGCTCGGTTATTATGCAGAACAAAGAAACTTTAAAGACCAAATTTGAAGAGCTTCTGCGAGTTGAAGTTCCAAAACATCAGCAGACGTCATTCGTCAAATTCACTGCTGCATCTGAAAAGTATTTAAAACTGGGTTTTATTGAAGTCACTGACGACACCGCAAAGGCTGCTAAATCAACAATAGAAGGATTAGATAAAACTTTGCAGGCTGGTGTGGAAGCAGAGTTTACGTTATATCCAAAGACATCTAGAGGAGAGATGAGTAACGAGGCTAATCTTAAAGGTCGTGTCGAACTGTTAATTAAACCCGTCAAGGATGTTAGAAACGTGGTTGTCGAAGAGAAAGAAGACGGCAATCTTGGATTGAAGTTTACTCCCAAAGCACCTGGCACCTATAGCATTGAGGTGAAGATTGATGGCGATAAACTGCCGCACTGTCCCATGACTGTGCAGGTAGAAGAACTTGAACCTTTTGAACTGTTTGACTAAAAGTGGAGGCGAGGGTAGCAATACGGGACAATTTCAGTACCCTGATGGCATTTCGTTTTTAAATGACAACGAAGTCCTAATTGCAGACTTAAAGAATTGCAGAATACAACGACTTAATATTCAGACAGGAACTGTAGTGAAAAGTTTTGGAAAATTCGGTAAAGAAAAAGGAAAGCTAGGAAATCCAGTAGACGTTACCGTCGACGATGAAGGGCGCGTTGTTGTAACCGAGTGGGGCAATAATAGGATACAGGTGATGTCAGACGAGGGACAGTCTATTTTCACATTTGGAGACAAAGGCCCAGAGAAACTCTGTAGGCCAACCTGCTGCATTCCT